ATTGCACACCTTATATGCTATTTTCTGACAAGAATGCTGACAGAATACCAGGTTTTATTGGGAGTTCACCAAAAATACTAATCGAGACTAGTGTGCTCAGTGGCCAACTATACCCAATTAGGCTGTCAATCACCAAGATTGCACCTTTCAACAGCAATAACTCTACAACCAAAGCACCTCATAACAAGGCAAGGGCATGTTTGAACTCCTGGAGTCTTGGTCTACAATATCAGCCGAAAAGGTCAACAACTTTTTTCCTAACCCTTACCCCCATTTCCCTATTCATGGATACCACAAAGAATCAGTGAGGAGTGAGTTGAGGAATGAATTGAAAGGTGAGTTGAATTGAGTTGCAAGCATGAGTTATCTGAGCAGGAGGGCAGGCTGCCTTTATAGACAGACTGCTGGCTCTTGGAATGTTCTAGATACATTGGCATTTGTAATCATTTGTAATCATTTGTTAGCAACTAGAAGATTCTGTGTTGTTCCATGAGGTTCCATGAGGTTCCATGAGGTTCCATGAGGAGTGACTGGGTGGATTGTTATTGGCTGCAAGCCATGTCAGGATGACACATGGGAACAAAGTCAAGAAGCCTCCTCTAACGAATTGCACTGAGATGAGTGCGGTTGCGCGCACATTTGCGGTTGGTGCTCTCACGGCAATGCAAGGAGACTATGCATCACAATGCAAACTTGTGCGCACAATGGGACAACAACAAGGCAGCCTATTGAAGCTGCTACATTGCGTAGAGGCAAAGGCAAACAACCGCACTGTTGCTTTGTGGGACAAAATGTTATACAAGAACAATCTAGGATGAGGGAAGAGCTAGTTGTTGATGCAACAACAGAAGGACAACATCATCTGCATTGCAACCGCCTCACGCACCACATGCAAGAAAGAGAGCTGGCAGGCTATTGCGCATAGCGATTTTAACTCTATTGTACCCAAAATGAGTATCACAACATTCAAAAACGTGATGTACAAAGCTGGCTACACGCGTCAACGTCCAGGATGGAAAATGAGCTTGACACCAGAGCAAGAGCAGGAGCGTTACACATGGGTGCTTGCTCACAACCCAGATAAAGAGGTTGAATATGACAATAACGGCTACAATTTCACTCACGTGGTGTTTACTGACAAGATGCCTGTGCACATTGGCAAAGAACAAGGCATGATGATAACATGGTGTTGTGAAAGAGAGCGCTGGGATGATGACATCAAGCACAATTGCAACCGCAAGGACTGCTGCCTTCAGTTCTATGCAGCTTTTTGCTATGACTATAAGGGCCCTTGTCATGTTTATTGTGAAGAAACTCACGCAGAGAAGGTTGCTGCTGCAGCTCACATTCAGCAGCTCAATGCTGATCAAAAGACTCACAACAACAAGCTACAGATCTATGCACAACAGGCCTTGAACAACATCTCACAGAGTGATGTCAATGGCCGCTACAACACCAGAAAGCAGCAGTACATCTCAAGTAAAATGAACTATCATTGTGGCAATCATGCAAGTGGAGGTGTTGATGGGTACCGGCATTGCAAAGGCGCTCTGAAGAAGGTTGTCCCATGGATCCATGACCTCAAAAAGAAAGGAGTTCCGTGTGTATTACAGCAGGACAGATCCCTAGCTCATAAGAGTTGAATATTGCGTGATTACCTGATGACAGAGCACATTGACATGTTGTGGTGGCCTGGTCATTTCCCAGAGGTCAATGCAATTGAGCATGCCTGGCCGTGGATTTGGAAGCATGTGACAAGGCAATTCACCCCATCCTGCACAGAATCGCAGTGCAAACAACAGTTGATAAGCTCATGGGACACCATGCCTGTAGAAGTGATCAATAAGTGGGTGTTGGCAATTCCTGAGCAAGTTTGACGCATCATCCGTGCGGGTGGCAAAAACAACTTCCACGGATAATCACAATACGAAAAAAAAGTCAAAATAGCTCAATTGTATGTCTCACAATTAATTCACCGCATCAGAATTACTTAGTATGGCTTCAATTTGTTGTTTTGGTGACAATTACTATGGGTGTTGTGAACGGCAATCATGTTCACGGCCTGTGTGTGGAGTTGATTCCTCAAAAAAAAATGGGCTTCTTTGTACTGAGTATACTGCTTGTGCCGAGTATTGCCAATGCGGCCCACTGCTTGGGTTGCTTCAGTTGCTTGACTGAGAGTGATGATCATAACGAGTATTGCCAACACGGCCCACTGCTTGGGTCAATTGATACTACAGTTCCTTGGCTCCTCTTGTATTGTTGCGTAGTCCTGTTCGTTCAGTGTTGTTGCGGGTTGCCCTTTGATTGTAACACTCATATACTCAATGCCGCACCGCCTCCAAGCTTGTCAACACGCCCAGGGTTACCAGACTAAATATTGAGACTAAGCGCATTCAATTGCTGCAATCAGATCTATTTTTCACTGTGTGGTTGTTGAGAAAAAGCGTTGTGAACATTCACTCAAAAGTGGTTGTTGTGAGGTCACTGTAGGCAGGCAATCGGACACAGGATGGATTGGGGCCGTCTGGGGCCAAATGGGATGAGATTAGACAAATCCTTGATGGCTGAGCCTCAAGGTTTGTGAGGAATATATACAGGTGGCCCGTGAGCCTCTGGTCCAGCCCTGGAGTACATCTGAGGGCTGGCCAATACATGTAAGGGGAAATACCCGTGACAGTTGTGGTGGCTTGTGCACAGTAGTGTAAACAAACTTTGGTCTACCAATTGTATCTACCTTCCGAACAGGAACCACTACACCAGCATGTGGTACATGGAACATCCTTACCTCATGAACCGTCGCATGATCTATCTATGAGCAGAAGGCTGCCTATCTATAGGCAGCAGAAACAAAGATGCTTACTCTGTCCTAGACAAGCAAAACAACAAAGAGGCAATATGTTTAGACAGGAGATGGAAGCTGCCTGAAACCAACACTTTTCCCAACATGCACCGTACAGCTCTAGTGTGCTCTGGAGTGTAATCTCGCTTGTGACAGAGAAAAGAGTTCTTGGAGGACTGAATGCATGACTAGTCCAGTGAGTACATTTGCGACACCGGCTGCAGCTTCGTCAACAACAATATTCAGAGAGCACGATGCAAGCGCTGAAAGTCATGTTCATGCAAAGTATTGCTGGCGCTGCAAGACCAGTTTGAAGAAATGGCAAGCAGGAGGAGCGCTGGTGGTGTGATATCGGAAACACGATTGGGGATGACGCGGATGCGTGAGGGACAGTGGTTGCAATCATTAGCAGCTACATTCGTAATTTAGTTGTGCATTGCTGTGATCGACGTCTGTGGCGGCGTGGGCCGCTGTGGTATACTGATAGCTACGGTAAACGATAACGTAGGGCCATCGGGTCGATGGAATACTGCGCTGAGTTGCTATCTAGCTGGAAGATGACGATATATACTGTCCCTGCAACGTGCTAGTCCATAACAGTCTAAGCAAGGGTAATTGGGTCTCGTAAGGACCGACTGATACCGCAATAATATCTAAATCAAAATTATCTAAGAAACATTCAGAACGAATGGCATTTGGATGTAGTCACTATGGATCCCGGTTTGGGAGTATCAAAACTCAAGGCTGGAGGTTCCCGGGACGATCCTGGTTGTTAGTGTCAAGTGGAGAGAACGTGAGCAGAATTGTGATCTATTAGTAGCTACTTCCGTGGTGTTTAAGCCGGAAAGAAAAGGCGCAGGGCCTCAAGAAGAGCTGTAGTCTAGGTGCTGGCTGACAGTTAGCTAGAGGGGATTTGTTGCGGTGTGTATAACCTTTAGGACCCGAGGGTCAGAAAGGTCGGCCTTTCTGTATCGCTGCGGGGCCGCGACAGGATGGAATCACCTGTAGTCACTTTAATACGTGCCAGTGATTGGAACAAGGGCAAGCAAAGTCTGATTAGCTCCTGTGGTCTTCAGAAATGACGGCAAGTTCCCAAATTGTGCGGTAACGTCAGGGGCAAACCAACAAACGTGAAACCGAATAGAGGACTGTGAGGTCCTAAGATAACGAAGCGGTCGGTTAGTGAAGGAGTTATTGCTGTACCCGATTAATGTAAGTTAAAACTTGCAAGCGCGTCGCTGCGCAAAGTAATACAGTCCAGCCGCTTACACATATCCAGGCATTTCATCCCCTCATATATTTAGATCATCAACAAACTCTCAAGGCCACGCCACACCCCACTATCTACTCCGCCTTCCTACCTTTGCCTTTCTTCCCACCTTTCCCCTGCACCACCGTCTTCGGCACCACACCCCTCGCATACACCTCCCCAAACCGCTCGACCTCCTTCGTCAAGCTCGAGTGGCTTCTCTCCGGCCTCTTCACGCCACTAGGCCCCAACACCCTCCCCTCAAACTCCCGGTTGAACGCGTGGACGAACTTCTTCCACCCACCCGTCGGCTTGCCCTCTGTCAAATGCGCAAGAATCCACTCCCGCTCCTCCTCCACATACGGCTCCACCACCTCTCTGAACCGAATGAAAGTGTTGCGCCGGATTTGCTGCACGGTGCGCTTGTTCAGCGCGGTGATGGCTTCTTGGTTATTCCAGTCGCGCGGCGGCGGATTAAGGAAGATACGCTGGCGGTGTTGTTTGTCAGTCAGCTTGATAATCAACTTGCCCTTCTGATCAGAGGCAGTGCCGTCCGGGAGCCGCTCGAAGCGGCCAGGTACGAATTGTGTGCTATAAAGTGTTAGCTGAGACGTGGGAAAGGGAAGGAGGAAATTGGGTCAGCGTACAACTCGGGCTCTGTAGTGAAATCGGCGGGATTGGAGTAGTCTGTTGCTAGCGAGCCCCACCTGACGTTGCGGAACAGTTGTGGTTTGTTTGTCTCTTTCACGTTGCCGGGCAGCTCGTCGGCGTCGCTGTCGTAGTACTCAGATCCTGCTTTGGTAGCAGCGGCGATGAGCTTCGCATGTCCGGGGTCGCTGGGGTCGAGCATGCGCTCAGAGCGCTTGAGTACGTTGCTTGAGAGGATGAGCTTGCTGCCGGGTGAGGTGGGCGAGCTGTCTTTGTCGCCGGCGTCGAACATGACATCGTCGTCGTCGCAGTCGCAACCTTCGTGGGCGGTCTTAACCTTCTTGACTTTACGCGAGATGGTGTGTGCAGCAGACTTTTGCACCGTCGGCTTGACGACCTTCTTCGTGGGAGGCATGATGTCAATCTCGGAGTTGGTATCATAGTCATCGTCAAATGATGCTTGTAAAGACATGCATTTCAAAGTGGAGGATTCGTTAGGCTGAGGAGAAGAACTGTCGGTGGTGTGAGGTGGATCTTTGAGGGCAGCTTGTATGCCACGTAGCTTCAGCTTGAGACCAGAGCTGGACGAGCTTGAGGGTGACGAGCGAGCGTTGGCGTGTCGTGAGTCAGTAGCGTTTGCGTTCTCTGAGATGGCAAATCCCGTGGGCGAGGTTGTGTCACCAGTCTGGCAAGGCGTCAGACGCAGCTTCAGACGCGGTGAGCGAGAGGGCGAGGAAGAAACCTCAGCGTTCGAGTCTGGGACCACTTCGGCTGTGAATTCTGTAAGTAAGGATATCTAAGGGGAAAATTGATCAACCTACGAGCTGATGGTGTGGAATGTGCGCGCTGGCTGTTGTTGATTCCATGACCTGGAGAAATCAACAGGAAGCTCGGAGCAGGCGTCTCAAAGTGTCGTAATGTGGGCGACTGAGACTCGCGCTTGACTGGTGTAGAAAACACTGGTGAGCTTTCGACGGCGCGAGCATTCAACATTTGCACATGTGCTTTCATGGTTATTTTTGGCGCGATTGTGCGGTGACTGTTAGTAGTCATTGTATCGAGACTGTGCGATGCTATACAAAAGGCCGTACACAGTACGCGCTGGCTGACGAAGAATAGCAGTGAAATAAGCAGTTCTGGCGAAAGCTGATGCGACCGTGTGACTGTATCGAGCGAGGAGGAATGTGGAAGTTGGTGTCAGGCTGAGAGGTGGACGAAGTGAAGTGTAGGCGAAACGAGGTGGCTGGAAGTGTGCGCCGGCGCTGCTGCTATTGTTCCGTGGAGAGTCATTGTGATTAGGTCAAACAGTGTTCTGGAACAATGAGAGTCTTCACCGTGAGGAGTAGCCCAGGCGGATGAGCGAGGTCGAGGTGAAAGCGTTGTCCAGTCTTGGTCAACCGATAGCGATAGCACCGCACCTTTTCCACGAAGCTACAATCATTCTGTGTGGAACAAAACATTCAGACTCGTGATTGGTTTGTGTTCGGAAATTTTGCCGGGCCCATTAAAGCACTCGTGGTGCTGGCATGGTGAGTGGGACCTGAACTGAAGGTTAGAATGGCACCACAGCTCCTCCTCTTTTGACTACAAGATCTTCAGCAGGTAATCTGTCCGAGCGACTACTCGCCCTTACATGGAATGACAATTGCATCGTGTTATGCAACTTCACGACTGAAGCGTGTTGCATGTGAACGTTCAGTGAGGGCGTGACGTAACGCCGACAAATAGCAAGAGCACCGTAGAGCAGCCAGCGTGCATGATCGTAGATGTGGTAAAATCGAGTTCATGAGTCATCTTGCGAGATCGAAGTTCACCTACTGTTTACTCTAGAATCTCGAACCCAACAAAGTCAGGCGCCCAGCTCGTGCTATTTCCAAAGCCACCAAACAAAACAGTGTTGTTTGCACCTTCAACAAAGCCATCTGCCTCAATGATCAGGCGTGCACTTTCTTCCCAATTACCTCCAGACAGCGGGAACGCCCATCGCTTGGCTTTCCCGCCGTTGACCGCGATAGTTGCGTTTCTGGCATTGTCACCCCACTCCCACGCCGTGGTAAAAGCGTAGTCGTAGTTCACAAAGTCGACTCCGAGTGTCTTCTTGCCAGACGACGAAGCAGATACGGAAGTGAATATGACGCTAGAGCCGAGAGCGATGTTGCCGACCTTTGATCCAGTAGGTAGACAGGTGCCTGATGAGCAGGATACAACCTTACCTGAGCCAGCAAGAGTGGCGTTCGAAGCAGAGTGGTACCCAGTAGACTTGAGAGGTGCCGCTGCTGTGACATTGGAAACGAGCCAGAGGCGAAGTTCATGGCCGGCAAGGTCAAGCTTCTGGATTCCTTCTACAGATCCAAGGTCCTTCGCTGCCCATACGTCGCGGACTTGCGCAGAGCCAATGCCGAGAGATGTGAGGTCAATTTCGATGCTTTGCGAGCTGTTCTTCCAATTTGCGACACCAAGGATTTGACGGGAGCCGGACAGCTCGCCGAGCCAGATGTCGTACTCTTCTTCCGTGTAGCGGCGCACGAGCTGTGCTTGCTTGGCGAGAGGGTCCTGGTTGAGCGCGATGACTTCTTTGTTGGACATAATGTCCAGAGAGTGCTTGTTAAGTTTTTCTGGATCGACTGCGGCGCCGATGATTAAGGGTGATTTGTTGACAGCCCACATGCCGAAGTGGAAGCGCTCCTCTTCTTCTGAAAGAGCGTTAAGGCCGACAATAAGCATGTCCATGTCTGCAAAAGCGCCTATAGTTGTGTGTCTGTAGTACGGCACGACCTGGTTGGTGATACGCCAGATGCTGCGCCAGGCGTTGTAGATGTCGTTGCTGATTCTCCAGGAGTTGCCGATCTTGGATGCCCATTCGCCCGTATCGATACCGATGCCCCATTGGCAGACGAAGTACTGGATGTCGCGGTCTACGGCTTCGAGCTCGGCGGCCATGTATTGGAAGCGTGCTGGTGACTGCGATTCGGCTGAGGAAGCATCGACCATTGTGGCGTTCGACGTGGAGTAGCAGTTGTCGTATCTCGCGTTATGTTAGAGAAACGGGTTTAGTGACGTGATTAGGGTCGTGAATACTTTAGACTGTCGCCACCCCATTCAGCAAAGCTCTCAGCGTCCAGTTGTTCGTACCCAAGACTTGCGGGCAAGTCCGTGCTGCCGCACTGCAGATACCCCGCGCCTGAGTACAGACCGAATTCGAGCCCAAGGTTGTGGATGTAGTCGCCCAATGCTTTGCCACCAGAGGGAAACAATGTCTCGTTCCATTGAAGCTTGCCTTCAGGGCTTCGATCTCGTGATGGCCAGCCACAGTCAACAGTGATGAAGTTGTAACCGAGCTTATTGAGACCCAACGCGATTAGACCATCGGTGCTGTGCTTGATCTTCTCCTCGGATGGAGAGCAGCTGTAGCTATTGTAGGAATTCCATCCCATCGGTGGTGTCAGTGAGCGAACAGTCTTTGCCAGAACCGGCGCCACAAAGGCAGCCATGAGGAGAAGTGAAGTTGCCATTGTTAGGCTGCTGCTCCCCAGAATATTTTGCATGCACGACGAGCAGAAGGTGCACCCATTCAACTTATAGCGCTGGCAAGCTTGGTGCTTGCGTGACATCGCAGGCAACGGCAAAACTCACCGCGTAGGAAACTCAAGACTTTTAGAACCATCTCTTTCTCATGCAAGCCTAACGAAACCTTCTAAAAGATGATCACGCCCATGTTCAAGCGAGCACATGAGGAAGGTGATGACAGTTTCGTCTGGGGAAACGCCAGGGGTGCGCCGGAGACAAGCCCAGCAGGGTGTCAACGGCCCGTGTCTAGCGAAGATCCTCCCCGCATCGGAGTAAAGATGCCGCGGTGAAACGATGTGTTGTCCCGTTTCGCTGCTGTGGATAGAAGGAAAAGTGTGGAGGAGCCGGCAGACAGCCGAGATGAAAAGAGGGGTTGACGTCATCGGCGTTTTCGCCGAAAACGCCGGTACGATTCTTTCGGCCTGTGTGCATCAGCACCACAATCAGCTTCATCGTCAACAGCCGCGCCACGGAAGGGACCACGATCATAGCTTTATTTTGATATGACAATTGTTGGGGAGCGCTTACGGTATCGCCTCTACATCCTTTAGATCTCTTTTGGCAATTGTGCACTCGATGTAGTGCTAGGTCTCGCACTCGGCTCATCGTGCTGAATTTTGGTTGTGGTGACTGTGATCAGTCCTCCGAGATCTGCCAATGCCTCCTCACTGCCATGGCCGTCGGTCCACAACACTTGATCTTTGCGCTTTGACTGGCTGGTATAACCACTCTCCAAGCTCTTAATCTTGGTGTTGTCTGTCGACCGTTTGACATACCCACGAGAGTTGTAGGAAACATCGGGGGTGCCGAATCGACGGCGGATTATACCGGCAAATGCTGAAGTGCAGCTGATGATGACAGCTGAGATGGAAGTCAGTAAATCGTGCGGAGAAGAATGCGAACTCTGTACGTACTCATCGAAATCTCTATGACAGTCCACATTTGCAGCCATTTCGGGTCTGGAGTTGATGGCACTCCGTTTTTGACTCCGAACTCGACCACACGAAGAGTGGCGAAGAGCTTGGGGAAGCATTGTCAGCTATATCACCAGACGAAGATCAGCGTTTCGAAGTTACTCACAATACATATCCAACCACTACCAAAGAGCACGAAGATGCCAAGCTTCTGAGTTTTGGGCAGCTGAAGACTCCATGTCAATCGAAGCGGCAGGAACATCACTGTTAAACCCAGTCAGATGAGTAATTTCCAAAGATGCTATACATGCCTGCAAGATCGGTAGCGACGTCAACAGCATATGCAAACCACAAGCTGAACTGCGCCCGTTTCTGTTCGTTTGGCTTCGCGCAATTGCCTTGGTTATACTTTGCCTTCTGGTCGTCACATACCAAGATGGTTGTCATCGAGCTACAAATGAATGACTCGAGAACGATCAGGAACATTCAAGACCCAACGGGAGGGTTTGAAACTCACCAGTATGCAGAAAATCAAGATGCCCCACCACATAACGGTAAATTTCTTCGGTGTTCAATCCAGTAGCCTGCGGTACAATGCCAGAAGCGACAACTTACTAAGGTGAGCGAGGTATAGAACAACATTTGATCGGCTGTGATTCATCGGTAGACCATGCCTGCATCGTGCACTACAGTTTTACGTTGCAGTCAGCCTCTGGTCACCTTGCCTTTGTACCATCAAAGACGACTTACATATTTAGGATATGGTGGGATCGCCAGGTATATAGTCGTCTTCTCCTAGCTAGATAGCAACTCAACGCAGTAATCCATCGTATCCTACCAATGGCCCTTTGCCACAACAACCAACGGCTACAACGCAATCTCTGCTGTCATCACAGACATAACGTTCCAATATAGTCTCTCCTTCAACTCTCATCGCAATGCTTACTGACATGTTTGCAGCCAGCAGCACTCTGGGCCAACGCAACAGCCTCCATTGGCATCCCCACCTGTCATCTTGACACGGCTTGCAGCCAACAACAACCCTCCCAGTCCTTTTTGTAAGGCTCCCATCATCCTGCCATTTGTAAGCTTGTGTTGAGGTTGTGTCTTAAGTAAAGCTTGTAGAACCTATGCCAAAAGGCATGCGCAAGTTGAATCAACAGGATTCATCTTGCATAGTCGATATTTATACAGGTGGAAAAGCATGACTGCGCTGCTCCTAGGCTCTAAGCCTAGCCCACACCCATAGGTGGGTCCACATGGGTCTAGCCCATTACAACTAGCAGTACCCCTACCCAACCCGTACCCTACGCCTTGGCAGGCCCAGGATGGAACCGCTTTAGTACCAGTTGAGCCAGCTTGGTTCTTTTGGGTGGGTATGATCAGGTTGTTGATGGAATGTACTATGGTGGTAGCGGAAATGTGACGACTAGGGACGGGCATCTAGATGTGTGTTGGGCAATGTGGGAAGAGTGAAGGATGTAAGTGTGACGATGCTGCCTCAGAGCCACTTGGACTACAGATGTAAAAATAGGATAGCAACCTCAGGATAGATCTAATGCAATCCTCTAAGGAGGGTTCTGGGGAAGCCTGCGACAGGGAGAATGTACTGTGCGCCTGCTTAGCAAGATAGTGGCTTGGCAACCGGCACAGGGGCACGCCAGGGCTTACCAAGGCTTGCCAATTACTGCAGTGCGGTTGTCGTTCGTGACAATAGATGCAATTTGTATAACCCTATCTACCAGGCTGTCGCTGGAACTGCTGGGAGGCCGCCGTCATGTGTGGAGGTTGAGAGGGGCAAGAAGAAGGGCAAGACTGGAGAGGTGCGATATTCGGAGTGCGGGGTAGTGGGGCTCGAGTACCGAGCCCACAACTGCCGCCGTACCTGGATGACAACACCCTTACAAACCTCGAAAAGCAACGGCATCAGATTTCAGTACCATGCGGATAGTCCTATATCTAGCCGATGCGCTAGCCGATTCGCTAGCCGATGCGCTAGCATCTTGACTTCAATCCAATTGATCCCAGAACCCTCACGATGCACTTTTTTCTCCTTTGACAATTCTCACAACATACGCAACTTACGTCATGGCTTCAACCGCCCCCCAACCGCCAAAAATGACACTGCTGTACCACATGGAAGTCCAGCTCGGCGAACGCTTTTCACTAGGTCCTGTGCCGAACGGACAAGAGCGCATTGTGATTCCGATTGTGGGAGGCACATTCAAAGGTCTCAAACTATCCGGTACAATCCCCTGTGTCCATCCACCACCATTTCAGCAGCCAAAACTTCCCATCCCATCACCACCATCTAACCTCCTGCAGGCAAAGTCCTCAACCTCGGCGCTGACTGGCGTCTCACTGACGTGGACGGGAAGATCCGCCCCGACGCGCGGTACAACATCCAGACCGATGACGGGACATGGATTTACGTGCAGACTGAGGGGCCAACTCAGTCGGATGGGAGGACGTTACTGAGAGGAAAGTTCGAGACGGCGAAGAATGGGGCGTATAATTGGTTAAATGATATTGTTGCCGTGGGTGTGCTGACAAGAAATGGGACGAGCGGAGTGGTGATTGATATGTGGGAGGCGAACGCGCCGTGATTGATGGAGGGTGAGGTCAGTGGGTTCATGTGGGTACAGTGATATTCAACAGGCTATCTACAATTAGGCTGTGAAACCAATTGGCAGGTTCATTGACAGGACGTAGCTCAAAGAGCTACAAGTTCAATCAAACCAGCTGGCTTAGAGCACCTTTCTGGTTGAACTCTGGATCCTGAGCATAAGTCATGCCCAGACTATCCACTCAGCTGCCCAAGTGACAGCTACATGTCTTGGTAGCAGAGGAGAGCCGTAACACCCAGCCACCTTATATTAGAAAAGTATTGTGGGCAAACCAAGCTTCCGCTCACCACCAAACTTCACCATGACTATCCCAAAAGTATGAGGCCTAACCTCACCGTTCCCTCCAGAAACCTACCGCTGTAAGCCGTACCAGTAGGTTCCCGTACTACGCCCGGTTGGCCACGCTACTGTCAATGTAACTGATCATTGAATTCAGTTGCATTAATATGCTAAGCGGAGACTCCCAAGCATATAAGTGATTGACTTTACATGGCAGACCTATACAATGCGAGTTTCTAAGATGCTGGATGCATCAATATAAAATTCATATCGAACTATGTTTCCAGGTTCTTGCCCAACTAAATCAATTGCTAGCGAAGTCAGCGGGACTACCAAGCCCACCACGTGCAGCGCGTTGAAGTAACAGGTATACTGTGACAAGGCTACAAGATTCTGCTGTATCCTCGAATATCGTGAAGGGTTTTCACATGTCCAGTACCCAGGTAAAGTCCCCTTAGCCCAATGGGTGATTCGGATCTGTCCGCTAGTCCAACTGGGTCTAGCTCGTTCACAGCGATATTTCTCCCACTCACTTTGTAGTCTAGACAGATAATAAACACACAATACTTCTCAACCGTTCCCATTGACAGTTCTTGGTGATCAGCCGGCGGAACCGCGGCAAATCCAAGGTTACTGGCGAACAACACAAGCTGAATAATTTTGCACTACAAACAGCATACAGACGCATGTGCCGCATGTGCTCGATGATAGGTGCATGTTAAAATGAGTGCCCTGTCGTGATGTTAGGATGATGTTTGGCTTCAGGTACACCAGTTTGCAGGTGCGGGTTCGTTCGACCCAAAAGGGTAAGTGGGGCGTTACCACACGTCATATCGTCCTTTCACAACAACACAAACCTGCATAACACTCAGCCGATATGGCACCTACGGACGCAAGTCAACAGAGTACATATGCTCAAGCTCTTCCAACCTCCGATGAGCTCAAGGAAGCGTTCCAGGTTGAAGTATATGACCGCGCAGGGGACAAGAAAGCGCTCGGTGACCTCATTCAAGGCAAAAGACTAGTCTTGATCTTCACAAGACATTTCTGTACGTCGTGGCTACTTGAATTTGCGCATCACGATTCTGACTTGAAGAGGGTGTTTGAACTGTCAAGCATACGTCCGCGCGATCAGTGAGAAAATTCCGCACTCCAAGCTTCCTCCCAACACTCAAAGTAGGTTTCATGGCCAATCTCAAATGTATCATCCTGACCATGTGCAGTCAAAATCATTGGCAACGGTTCATATCAACCAATTGATACATATGCTACCACTACTTCATCCGTGTATCCCATATACACGGATCCAATATGTCGGCTCCATAAGATTTTGAAGTTCAAGTCTGCACTAAAAGAGCAAGAAGATGGTGAGGAGAAGAAAGATTACATGCAGAATGCAGGTACTCCAATGAGCAGGATATTTGGCGGTATCAAGGGTGCTCTGTGCAATTTGCAGCACACCGCGTACATTGGTCCGAAGGCCCTGAACGGTGGGGAGGTGATTATTGCAGCTGGTCCGTATGAGTTGGTCGCACTTCAAATTCTCGCTAACAGTCACTAAGATGGCACGTGCGAGTACATGCACCGTATGCAGAATACGGTTGATCATACGAATGTCGCCGAGTTGGCTGACCTCATTGGCATAGGTTTAAAATCGAATACCTGATGGCAGGTCAATGATCAGGCGCATCGCATTTGATTTGTGCTTAGAACACATCACCTGGTCGATCGCTACGCATATTTGGTCAACAATCTTGGATATGTACAAATCATTATTGGCATTGCGATGGTGACGAAATGTTTACGGAGAGACGAATGATAATAATCCAGGACGAAAGACAAGCTTAGTTTTGCATAGGAAATCTAGAGCGGAGATATTGTACATGCAAATGCTAAAGAAAGAACCGTGCCACTATTTACGGTTGAGATCAATCTATCACGAGAGCACTTACAAGGCCTTGGAGCTCTCGACCTTCAGTCCAGCAGCGCCAACATCGCTCTTCTGCTTGCCCTTCTCCGCATCGAGCGGCACGTTCAAGCCCAAGCGCTCACGGGTGGAGTAAGTAGTAATGCCTCCTTGAGGATCGGCCTCGGTGACAAGCTCCTTGCGGCGAGTATCAACGAGAAGGCGGATGAGGTCGGGGCGCATGTAATGCCCGGAGAAGTCAGCCAGAGCCTTGGTGAGGTGGCACTCGTTGAGGTCGATCTGTCAAACCGTTAGCGTCGAAAAACGTAATAGAGTTCGATATGCTTACATCAACGAAGAGAAGGCCATCAAAGTCCTTGTCAGGCTTAGCAACAAGGGTGCCGTCGGGCTTGTAAATGCGGGCGTGACCGTTGTAAGTCGAAGGATCAGTCTCTGGCTCAACACCCTCAGGTGTAGTCTTCCTCAGACCCTCCTTGCTCATCCTCTGGAACGGCGCCAATGTCCAAGTACCAGTCTCGATAGCATAAGCAGGGGTGACAAGGTCAGAAGCTGGGTCAGCAACGTTGGTGGCTGGGTCAGGGTATTTGAGTGTCTCCTTGCCAGGGTAGACAGGCCAGGCTGCAATGTGAATCTGCTCGCCCTCTGAAACATTGAGGGACTTCAGGAAGGGGTTCATGTTCTCCCAGCAGTTGAGCTGGCCAAGGCGACCAAGCTCAGTCTGAGTGACAGACTTGAAGGTGTCACCGGAGCCGTCACCGTAGACGAGCTTCTCGACATGGGTGGGCTTGATCTTGCGGCGGTGGTTGATGACTTCACCAGTGGGGTCGATCAGGGCCTGGGTAAGGTAGAGAGTGGCGTGGTCAATCTCGGAGAAGCCGAGGGAGACATAGCTGCTAGGTGTCAGTGTTGTAGGTACCAGTGTAGGTGGATTGGCTCACATCTGGTTGTCACGAGCGGCGCGACGAATGCGCTTGAACTCCTCAGAGTCGATAGGAAGGGAGTTCTCGCGGTACTTCTTCAGCATAGGAAGCGACTGCTGGTAGTTGACCTTCCACATCCAGTATGGGTAACCTGGGATCCAGACTTCGGGAAAAGCGATGAGCTTGCATCCAGCCTCACCGGCCTCGTTGATGAAGGCAATGGTCTTCTGGACGCCAGCCTCGAGATCGAACCAGCAGGGCTCGGAGGTGACAGCGGCGGCCTTGTACTTAGTGAGAGGCATCATGGAAGGTGAATCAATTCGGAAAGATATAAGAGAAATGTTGCTGAATGTTGTATTGTTGACGTTGTTGTTGTAGTTGTTGTTGTGAGTTCTTTACCTGCTGAGATCGATGGTTATATACTACTCTTGATATCTTCATGCCTACATGTTCCGGTGGTGTTACGAAAAATCACCGACGACCTTATGTCCATTCGCGCCATGTTACGACCTGTGCTGCATGCATAGTCCCTGCCGATGCTGTGTGCTGTGTCTCCCCATGGTCTGATTATGGCCGTTTTTATCTGCAGCGTCACAGTGTTCTCGAAGTCACAGGGAATCAGAGTGAATCTGTGGAGCTCGCATGCTCCGAATTGTGTAATGTGCTCAACTAGCCTCCGGACACATGGTGTACCGGTCAACGGCACAGGGTCGGCAGCGCTGCCATCGATGCCGCCCATGTTGTAACAGCGGCAAAGAATCGGCATCGTCGGCATTTCGGCGATACCTGCGATACTGCGAGCATTGTGCGAACATCATGCGGGTGATAGAGACATCAACATCGAGGCCTGTATCGAAATTCGAAGGCCAATTTTCTTGGTCTCTATTGAAAGACAGTCATCCTCTATGAAAGCCCTCTACCTATGGTAACGTATACGTGGCTGAAGATGGTGTTGAGAAGCGGCTGCCTATTGGCATGGAAATTACGGCTTAGCTAATCAGGGAGGCACTATGGTTTATTAGGTAACTACATTTGTTAGTGTGTTTACTAGTTGATAGCGAAACTCCGGTTCCCCACTCACATAATACACTTTCATCATAACAGATAGTCTGTTGACTCTGTGGAGCGAAGGTACTGACAAGAACCGTTGCTGTCTCCGAAGGCTTCAATAATACGTCTGCCGCGACGAGAAATGATCACAAACACCACAGATACGAGCTTTATGCGCCGTGGATGGACAGATGATGCTTCATTATCTTTCGTCTTTCACACCCGGTGGTGAGAACAAGAGTTCAATGAGCAAAGGAGAACTTTCATTGGTCAGTTCTCAGAATTACGAAAGTCCTTCATGCGTACGACACCGCGATCTTGGCGTTCGCTTTCTTTGAACCCTGAAAGTCTCACCTTCTGTTGTTAAAACATGGAGCTAACAACAGCAAGCATCCCGCAGCTGAAATATAGTGATGTCGACAAGTTTAAGATTCGAAATTCAATAATATACCACATCATTGTTGACCACCCGTTGAGCTCGCGTAATATGAAATGTGTCAAGCTTTTTAGCCCTCGTCTCCGTTCCGCCTAGACTCTGGGCCTACCGGAGAGTCAGGAAACACCAAGCCTTGAAAGCCTTTGTGATGCAGAAGCGGCGCATAAATCCACATGATAGCGCTGGTTATTAGCCGTAGGGCCCCAGCTCACTCTTGACCTCCAACATCGTTCTGCACACCACAGGCCAACTTTGATCTTGTTTGTGTTGAAGTGAAGAAGTTGATTGAAGTCGTGATCAGTTTAGGAGCCGATCGGCTGAACTATATTAACTATTGCGCAAACCATAATAGGATGATAACAATTGACCTCCAATGAAGGTAGTAGCCATCAGTTACCCAAGTAGGTGCTAAGGGTAATCAGGCAATAGCCCTCAACAGTTTGCAGATCCGGGGGCACTCCAATGTCGTCCACAATCGCAGTGACCGCAATGACGGCGGCCAATACCACCGCAAATCGCGTGCCTCCTCAGGCCGGTGTCTTTGGGGGTCTAAATTCTGCCAAGTACAACACGAACAACCTCATCTTCCTCTTCATCATCCAGGCCGCAATCGTAGTCGCATTATGTCGCGCTCTGTAGTGGCCACTGTCAAAGATTAGGTAGCCTGCGGTCATTGCCAACATCATCACTGTGAGGCTTGCGCTCGAAAGGTCTTGGGGGAGACAGCAAGTCATGTGGCGGCATGGGCCGCTGTGGTATACTGATAGCTACGGTAAACAACAACGTAGGACTATTGGGTCGATGGAATACTGCGATGAGTTGCTATCTAGCTAGGAGATGACGATATATACTGGCCCTGTGACATACTAGTCCATGACAGTCTAAGCAAGAGTGATTGGATCTCGTAAGGACCGACTGACACCGCAACAAGTAATCTTCGCAGGGTATCATTCTTGGTCCTTCAATCATGGGACGTATACCACACTTCACAAACACAATCTTCCCCAAGGAGAGCATGGCTTGCTTCACACTAGCTGCCCATATCGGTTTCATTTTGCCTATTCTTGTCGGATTCAAACTCGATCTGCACTTCTCAGTCCGCAACTGGCGGACAGCTATTAGCGTTGCTTCTCTCGATATGGCCATCCTATTCGGTTTGGGCTACGCGCTCGCGTATGGTCTCTACAATCAGTTCCACAATGAACCGAACATCGTCAACATCAATTTAGCTACCTTCGGCCTGTTCGTCGCAATTGCCATCGCCATCTTTGCGTTCCCTGTCTCGTGCCGGATTTTGGCGTCCCTGAACCTGCTGAACTCCGACGTTGGCGTTATAACGCTGATCTCCAATATTGTCAACGATGTTATTGGTTGGGTGCTGCTTGCCCTTTGCGTTACCCTTATGAACTCCGGCAACGGCGTCACGTCTCTACGTTCTGCTCAACACCGCAAGATTTGCCCTGTTTCTGGCATACGCTGTTCGACCGGGCTTCATGTGGGTACTACTCAAGACTCATTCCGTAGAAAACGTGTCAGAGTTCAGTGAAGAACTGTACGCAAGGGGAAGAAGTTGAAGATTGTACTGAGGTTGTATTGAGTGAAGCTACGAACAGTATATATAGGTGAGTAGCTGTAAACAACGCTAGTGTGACGTGGCAGTCACTCTCATGGAGGTGAGGTACGACAGGCAGGAGCACCCCAAACCGTGACAAAGACGCCTTGGCAGGCGCGTAAGAGCGGAAACAGGACCGGCATGATCAAGATTAATGGACCAAGCATGAACTGATTGTCAGCGCTCTTCAGCGATTCATCGTCAGGGAAGTTCCACGACAAGGCACGCAGCATCGTCTCACCGCGAGCTAGTTGTTCAAGGTACAACTATATCTCGTTCGTTCAAAAGTCCTGTGATGCCTTATGCAGAAAGTCTGGCCATAAGTTGAAGCCCAGCCAATCAATCTGGAGTCCACGTCAGTAATGTCTCTGGCTGCAGAAAGGCTTACTTACGCTGGTGTAGTCGTCATTATGGTCTTCTCCGAGCTTGATGTAAAGACCGAGAGCTTTGCCACGGTCGTACGTGGGGTTGGCGCCAGTCAAGTTACCCGGAGCAGGTACGTATACGTCTGGATGTAATTAATGTCAGTTTGAATCGGAACAAATATGTTGTGGTCTATATAGCTTTTAGGAGCCAAGGGTCAGAAAGGTCGGCCTTTTTGAATCGCTGCGGGAGCGCAACAAAATATGCAAGGATTTTACCCAAAATAGGCATTCAGTATTGCCCGTTTGTGTGTAACTTTACAAGGAATGCCTGTCTTTCATACACAGGGTATGTATTGTTGTCTTAAGAGAATGCGATACTGGAACAAGTAATTCCAATCATTTCAAATAGCTTCGAGCTGGATGTTTGCAGCCGCATAGCCATCGATGATATCTTGCAGAATCATCCAGGTTTGGTAGCCCCATCGCACTTGATGGAAACCAAGCGCCCAGTAAGGCTGCATGACGGGTGTGCCGATGACGCCGAGCCAGGGCTTCCGTAGGAAAAGGGCCACTGAAGAAGTATAAATCGAAGCTGCCACCAATCGTGCGATAGACCAAGCGATCTGGGTGCAAGAGCCATTCCTGGCCGGAGACTTGGAAGAGCAGTTGCCGTAGCATGTTTCGTGGTACACAAGATACGTGCTATGCATGCTCGCATCGATTAGTTGATCGTTCATCTCGTTGCTCCAATTGAAGAGCAGGTTGCTGCTGTTAGTTGTACATCCAGTAGGTATGGATCAGTATGGGCTGAGAGAGTCATCCGACATTTACAAGAACCTATTGGACGGTGCGGTGTATCTGGGGTAAATCTTGACATTCAGCTGAGCAGTATTTTGATACTGTACTTCAAGTGTCAGATCGGCGGCGATGTCATTACCGTATGCATTACAGACAGGGCTAGCAAGAGTGAGGCCTGCAGAAAGTGTGTTCTTGGTAGTCACGACGTTAACCGCCTTGTAGGTGCCGTTGTGTTGACAACGTTAGGTGTGACACTGGGGTGCAAGATTGAATGTAGACGCTAGTGTCGATGTCGGAGGCCATCCATTGGGGCCTGGGGGGCTGGTCGAGCGTAGTTTGACCTGTATTCATTAGAGTGTGATACTGAACTTCAACAAGGGGAAAAGTGTGTTTGAGGCCACAGTGATCAATGCGGGCAATACAGATTTCCACATTGTCGGATATTACTGAGGATAGGAAGACCATAGAGTGGTTTGTAAATTTCCGTTCTCCTGATACATGAGGATTTATACAGTGTTGCAAGCCGTGACGTGCACTGTTTTTGATGACAACTCGGCTCCTGATCGTGGAAACCTAATTTGAACGCCATTTTACTCCGGCTGATAGTGATGAACATCACCTTACCACATGTGCAGGTTGTGGAATAGAATTAGCGATGATGATCAGTTCAGAACCATCGAGATCGGTGGAATTGCAGAAGCTCTCCCCACATCTTGTACTAGCTTTGAGGCGCCATAGTCAGCTTCTAAAGACACTGTGATAGACATCGGCATAGCAAACCGCACAAGTAGACGCGTTCTGGTGACGTTGACAAGTACTCGACTGTGTAAGTCCACTTCGATATTTTTGTGGTAAGGTGACCACCCTTCGGGAAGTTCAAGCAAAGCTTGGATGAAATAAGCTCGGCTATACACATCTTGGCGTACCTCGTATCTGAAGCACTGCCATGACGTCAGCTACAACTCGATATTCTCCTTCTCCACCAAACCCTTTCCAGGCACTCTCGTCAAGTTCGTGCGGAACGCGCTGAGCTCAAGAGTCTCAAATCCCTCCCCTTGGCCTTGATCCCAAAATACGAAGTTGTTGATGGGAACAGCTGCGTACAACGGGCCCTCGATATCTGTCATGCAGAAATCGTCCCAGATTGCACGTTCATCGTGGTCGCGATTCTCGACTGCTTGCAAACGCCACTCTTCGCCCTTTTGGTCTTGCGCATTTCGATACAGTAGTGTTGGAACAAGTTGTGCGAAGCCATGCCTCGGGATCCAATGTTTCACGGAGCCAAGGTTGAGAATGTCAGAAGAGTTCGAGATGAATTCAGTCACAACAAGGCCGCGATGATCCGCAACCAGTGTGACTGAGGAGTTCAGACTGGAGTTAGAGCTGACGTATGTACCCGCGTAGCGTTCCTGAAGTTGCTGGACTGCAAGCTGCTCCGCTGGGCGAATGAACTTGGTGACGATGTTTTGCAACTTCAAAAGCAGCTCGCTGTTTCCAGCAACCAAGATAGTAAAGCCTAGGTCGTACTCGGGCGCGAGAATAATGATTGAAGTGTACCCTGGTAGTCCACCCCCTTTGGTCACGAAGCGCACTGTACGACGGGAGTCTTGCAGTACGCGATCGGTATGGAAGATTTCCCATGGTATACCATAGAACGAGCTCAATCCACGCGAAGGAGATGCCGGATTAAACCAGTTCAAAGCATGTGTGAGGCCGTTGTAGTGGGTAAGCACGTAACGAAGGTACTTGGACAAGTCCTTGGAAGAACTGTAGATGCCACCCGTTGGGCTCTGAATACCCTCATCGACATCCCAATAGTGGTCACCTGACGGGATTACGCCGGCCTCGTCAGGCGGCACAGAGAGTGTGCTCTTGCTCATATCGAGAGACTTGAAGATTGCCTCTTCGATGTACGATCGATAGTCTTGTCCGGCGACTCGCTCAAGTACTATCCCAAGCAACTCAAAAGCGACATTGGAGTACGTGGATTGCTGATTTGGTGCGAAAATGGGGATCTGCGACTTGACAGCACCGAGCAAGTCTGCAACAAAGTACGTCAGCAAAGGTCCCAGGTCGGATGTGTGAACTGTAATCCTCACCATCCTCATAGCAAACTTTTTCATAATTGGGCGAGTACTCATCACAATCGATGAGACCGTCCCTTAACACAGGCGGTAGACCCCATGTGACGGGGTCTTCCACACCGCATTTCTCAAAATTGATCAAATCGCTTTGAGCAACTACCAAAAATTAATGTTCGTACCTTCAAGCGTCTGGCAACCACTCCAGGAGACAAGTGGCCAAGGTTTGGCATGTAGCGCACATTCGCGGGGTATGCCACTTAGCTGACTGGCCAAATTACGCAGCGTGATGTCTTTCCATGGCAAAGTCCCATTCTGGTCCTCCTTCAGCTCTTGGATGTACTTGTTCACTGGGTCATCTAGACTCAGATTACCCGCCTTCTCTTGAAACAGAATACCCAAAACAGTGAACGTTTTCGTGATGCTGGCGATTCGGTAGAGAGCATCACCATTGACTTCGGGTATATCAGGGCGAGAGGCGTTTCGTTCGTTCGCTGTATGGTGCTTAGACCATAGGGTCTCTTTTGAGGTTGTGATCTCTACAGATAAAGATGTCGCAGAGAATTCGGGGGCGGCAACAGCTGATATGATAGCTGTGTTGATTTCGGCGAAGGCATGCTTGAGGAGCGCATCATTAGCGTCATATTCAGGCAGAGGGTGGGCAAAAGTAGGTTCATAGCATTTGGCGCTAGCTACTGCAGCTACTACAGTGGTAAAAAGAAGCTTCATCGTGACAATTGCGCGTTGAGGGTCACGACAGCCGAAACGTGGGATTAAGATGGTGCTTTTAAGGGTACGACTCGCGCCTTATCGATAGCACCGGCAGTAAGCACGTGACCCAGGCAACAACAATCGCGTCGGGCCGGCAAGCATACCATACACAACACTTCAACGTAAGACGCACTCGTTCTAGCACCATTCTTACAGCAGTGTCACATAAGGCTCAACAAATCTCGAATCATGTTGTCGTTACCCGTTTCGCGGGTTGTCATGACCTCGCAGCGCGCGACGCCATACATCTCGCCGGACAACCAGCTATGGCAGCTCTAGTCTTACAATACTTCCGACCGGTGTAAGTAACACACACTGAGTATGACTTGGAACTAGTATGAGTTTGAGCTAGCATAGGCTTGATGAAAACAGTCCATATGCATAGTTCCAATGGCTCATGAATGGGCCAGATTTGGCTGTGAGACTATGTTCGGACTACATGCCTGAGCCTCGATGACTGAGCAACGATTCCTCCAGCAGGTACTGATTTGCTCACAATGCGAAAGCCCTGCTCATGGTCAAAGACACTGTGTTTCAGCAACACACAATCCTATGCGAGTAACAAAACATTGTGCATGCAGTGTGTCACAGACTGGACGGACTTTTCGTATATATTTCCTTCAGGGTTCATATCGATTAATCTTGCCGACACAGAAGCTTCAGACTACCCAACGCAGCCTCACATCAACATACATCTTATCGAACAAGCTGACTCCCTACTACCAAGACGTGACCGAACACGTTTGCGATGTGTGTGGCGATCCAGTCTGGTGGATCGAAGGTCGACCCATCTGCAAAG